ATACATACATATACATATATATATACATACATATATATATATACATACACACATACATATATACACATACAAACAAAAAACAAAATCTCCAGAAATAAATAAGTAAAATAATAATAATAAAAAAAATGAGAGAAAAAAAGAAAGAAAAAAAAATGGAGCTATTAATGCGCTACTCTGCACATCATATTATTAGTGGAACAATCGTGGGCAAGTACAAATATAGTTTAGCTGCAAATAATATTTGTATCATACATATATAAATGGCGACATTTTATTTACTCGGGTAAAGATTCAAATTAAAAATATTCACCATTGTTCTACAATGACCAAACCTGTGCAAATTCATCACGAGTTATATTACACCAGAGGGTGTATACCATTCTGTGCCGTGGAATCTGATTACAGAACCTTAAACTTGCGCTACACTGTAATGCGCATTCCTGTCAAAAGGTTAAAAAATAAAGCAGACATGATAAACCTGATATTTCTAAAATGAACAAACCTGGGGTTGCAAAAAATGTGGGGAAACCATCTAGATTGTCTCAATCGGCTCTAAAAGCCCCAAGTCACAAAAAATATTAGAAATATTTATGTGCCCACGTAAGGATGTTGACCCAAAACATCAACTATCAAGAAGTGTTTTTCTATATATTGTAAAATCTAAAGACAAGGGTTTTTCTGAAATGGTAGCATTAACTCTTGGAGTTAGCCCTAGCCTTAGTAAAATATGCTAAATTATTGTGAACTTAAAACCCGGTTAAATTGACCAGAACATCAAAACAGCGAAATATAAATTGTTTTACAGTAGAATTTTGTAATTAAAGTACCCCCCCCCCCTCCCCGAGTACCAGTATCAATATGTAAAAGTTTGTACATGGTCTATCCGGACATGTCCACAGAAGACAAGAATGTCACAGTCCCCGTCATTTAATTATAAAATACTCATGTTAAAATAATACATGGAACATCTGCAAACAGTTGAATTAATATGTACTCTTATGTGGGTACATCTCATCATCAAGTATTTCACTGATAACTGCAAACTTCCATTGACGCATTTCCAAAATCTCAGAGTACACACGTGCAACCAAAATATGTCTCATACATGTTCAAGTAACTGCATTCATAAATCTGAGTAAATCTTGATGTACCTTAAATAACAACTTGACTGCTTTGTTAATTCAGGTTTTTGTATATTACTATGACCTGGGTTCGTTTCAGTATCACCACTATAATTCCCATCAAAATTTAGCCCCGACACCCCTCTACAGTTTTCACCGACATCCGTAATATACGACCCATTTATTCACTAGCCCCGACAACTGAAGCTATATTTAGACCACATGTGCCTGGCCAAGATTTATAAACAGTAACTGCAAAGTGTTTTTACTGATCTTCAATTTTTACAGTTTAAAGATACAATATACTACAACGTTTCTGCCTACATTTATTTCAAGATTTCAGCGTTAATTTTTCATAAAAAAACACAAAAAAACTGAAGTCCATTTCTTTCACTGATACAGATCAAGCTCGGAGCATGCTCAGTTGTTCTGGTAGTGTGTTGGGAGAGGTAATTTTGGATGAAAATCATGAAAAAGATCCACTTAGGATTTTCAGATCTGGAAAAACAAGTTTGAACGAAATCCATCCATAAATGCCAGAAAAGCTTGATATTTGATGATTTTTTAGCACAAAAATGACCACCATTTGGCCATTTTGAATAGGATCGTCAAACCAATATATCTGTTTATCTATGACATGATGTATGATGAATATTTAAAATTTTAACATAATCAGTCAAAGCAAGTCGGAGATAAGAGTCTAGAAGCCCATTCATTAAAACAAAATGGCCGCCATTCGGCCATTTTGAATCTTATCTGAAAAACAAAATTATTTGCATCAAGGTCCCATAATGTCTAATATATATACCAAGCTTGAACAAAATCCATCTGTAAACAGCCGAGAAATGCTTGATTTTTAGGATTTTTTAGCACAAAAATGGCCGCCATTCGGCCATCTTGAATCAGATCGTAAAACAAAATGATGTGCATCAAGGTCCTATAATGTCCAACGTATATACAATGTTTGAACAAAATCCATCTGTAAACAGCTGAAAAATGTTTGATTTAGATGATTTTTAGCACAAAAATGGCCGCCATTTGGCCATCTTGAATCAGATCATGAAACAAATTGACGTGCATATGTATAATATCATGTATGATGTATGTGTGAAGTTTGATTGTGATTGGTCCAGGCATTTCTAAGATACAGGTCCGGACGAACGG